CGTGCCGAGGTGCCTCCACAGTAGACTATATTAGACTATAGTTCATATATGTATGTTTATGCATGCATATTTATATACTCAGATGGTCATATATACATGCACACATGCGAAAAACCTCCCTTTTGGAAACATTAAGTCCGGCCAAGGCTTCCAGAACATCCGATAACTTGAACAAAGACTCACTCAGAAAATTATATTTTTGTCACCTCCAGGAAATTGAAAAGCCAAGAAGGGAGGGATTTCCAGGATGGATGTTTCTAACCAGAGATTCCAAGAGCTTAACATTCCCACCAGCAGATTGAAGATGTCAGGATGAGATGAGCTACAGCCAAGGGAGTTGTATACGGGATTATATCGGGGACTACTATGGGGGATACTGGGAGATTAGACTATGCTCGCATGTTCTAGATCTTAACTGGTGGTGCACGGGGTTGATCTTGCCCAGCCTTGTACGCGCGGGAGTTCAAGAGTCCCCATGCCGGCAGGAACCGAAGAGCTTCGACATCTTTTGAATGTCATGCGAAATACGCACCTGATGTTCGTGCTAAAATTTCCAGGACGCACAGACATTGGTGATGTCACCCATGATTTGTTTGAACGCCGCAAAGAATATTTGTTGGGGGATTTTGTGCACAACCTTCAGGCCAAGGACTTCTCCGATCAGGTCATCCATCGACCATCGTGGCAACTCGTGCTGTCGTACGAACAGGCCATTCGAAAGCAGGCCTTTCGCTACGTGATCTCCGACAACATGACTTTGGCAGCCTTCTGGGAGAAGGCGTGGAAGGATCCAGTGACAAAAGAACGTCACTTTTCAACGCCACTCTCCTTGTATGCCAAGCGCCAGCCTTCCGTGGGGGAAGCTCCGTCCGGATCTACCTGGCACCACCTCCCAAAGGATTCGGACGCGGCAAGGGTAAGAAGGGCGCTGGAAAGGGCAAGAACACAAAGACCTTCCGCGGCCACGCCGCAACCAAGGCGGGCGAGCCCATATGCTTTCGCTTCAATCAGTCTGAGGGCTGCGCCATTCCGTCTTGCAAGTTCAAGCACGTTTGCAGTCACTGCTTTGACGTCAATCACAACTTTATTGGATGCCCCAAGCGGCGGCCTGCGGCAGACACCGCGGGGAAGCACTGACTTGGTACTGATGGTGGCACAGCGTTTCACGGCCAAGCACTGCATGTCCTCTATCTCTTTTGTGGGCCCTCGCCCGAATTCCTTGGCAGCTTGGCTTCGCAAATTGGCACAACGTTGCGGTCTGCCGCTTAAGGTGGAGGCCATTGATATTGCTGTACGTCCTTTTGTGGACCTTTCTAATTCTAGGGTCCAAGAACAATTCCTTTCTAGAATAAAGAGGGGTGATTTCTTTGGGGTGGTACTGACGCCACCTTGTTCTACTTTTAGTCGGGCACCTTGGCGCAACAAGCGTGGTCCACGACCCACACGTTCCTTTGAGCATCCAGACGGATTCCCAACTCTTCGTTGGGCGGAAAGACGAAAGGCCAAGCTGAGCTGGACAAGATCAACTCAGTGTCCACGACCGGTTCAAGATAGCCACTGCCCCCACTGCCCACACTGCGTTGCAGCCTCGGCTTTCCACTGAGAGGGCTTGGGACTTCACAGAGATGAAATGAAGGCTCGTTCAGGGTTCAGTGTCAGTAGCTCGGCTGTGTCCCGGACAGGTGGGACGGGGAAGTCGCGCGCAGTCGCCTTTCTATTGGTTTTACTCTGAACAAGAAGATTAGCAGGCCTGTCTCAATGCGGAGATGATGTTTGTGGCACCTCATCAATCTCGTTGCACATCATTAACTACCGAAGTCGCTCTACTTAGCCTGCTCCAACCCAAGCAGCTGCTAGAAAATCCCCGTCGTGAGCTGTTAGACATTCCCTGATGCTAAGCCAAATCGGAGATTTGCTAAGTGAGCTCTGACCCAGGCTGCGATCCATGATACCATCCTGAACAACCAGCAGAGGCTCGAGAGCGCAGGTATGAAAGGCATTTCTGGAGGTAGAGAGACGTTCAAGAAGTGGATCTTGTGAGAAATGCTGCCAGCTCCTATCAAATGGTATGCCTGCCCACATCTCTAACATACTGACTGCACCCTGATTTTCCATCCTCAGGGGGTTTTCATGCATTACGTTGATATGCTTGAAGTGTCTAGCACAGTGTCACAGTTTGGGCAATGAAGACGCGTCAAGCTGTTGCCGGATTTACTTGGCATGATCTGCCTCTTTCAGTATGCGCTTCTGCTTTGCGGTTGCCATGTCGTAGTTTGAGGGGCCGCATGGATACCAAGGGGTTAGGGAAGTTCTTGTGGTAGTTGAGATAAGCTTACTGTAGGCTTTGATGGGCAAACATCTCTTAACTCCAAGATGCTACGAAGTGGTAGTGCAATCTGCAGTCCTGATACACGCATTCTACTGTAGTTATTCTTAACATTACGACTGCCGCTGTTAGGTTACCATGATTCTTGCTGCTGCTGCTCTTCCTATTATTATTCGTTCTTACTGTTGTTCTTACTTCGGCGGCGGCGGCCGCGACGACAACGACGACGAAGCGCCCTGAGCCGCTTGTCCCTCTTGACCTGGGTTGCCGTTAATTAAATTAAACTCATGTATCAAGGAAATCTCAGTATGTACCATATGCCCATAATGTCGGGATTTAATTCAAGTTCCTTAACAGCAACCCAGTGAAAGGCTGTGCGATCTCTTGACCAAGCTGGTGCAGGCGAGCCCTTGGACCCTGGTGACCTCTGCCGGGTTGGAGTTGGTAACCCTACACCCTGAAGCTGGAGTCTGTGGCGTGGGGTTTGAAACTATTCAAGGCTTCAGGTTCCGGGTAGTTCCAATGAGTCACAGGGCTACCTGCAATTTTGAGATTCAGTCTTCGCCCATGGCTTGAGACATCGTGGGACAGAGGGTCAGGGGGGGCTTAGAAAGTAGGTTAATACGCCCTGGAATCCATCCAGCAGCCTTAGTTATATCGATTGTTAACCTACTTACCGCGTTCCATTGACCCTCCAATTGGGGCCCCATTTTTAAAAATCACTGAAGGGGTTTTGGTGCTTCATACATTGGCGGGCTGAAAATTTTATTCCTCGCGCATGTACTACCGCTTCTACTCCAGAAAATGGTTCTCAAACATCGAACATGTTCAGCTGCAAGCTACTGTGGCTGCAGGAAAGGCAGCACAATGTTATGCATATATCCTCCACCCTCAGAATTGCAGCATTGTGGCAGTCCTGAGTGGTGTCCTTACCCGTGCTTAAGGGAGAGTGGGTCAGTAGATCCTACAGCGTTCTCAATAAACATCCTTTGCCACTGTTGTGGTACCTAAATTTGCTTTCCCACAAAATCACCCTAAGCCATAAAGAGTTGCTTCCATTTTCTTTTCCACGTTCTGTTCCATGTTCTCCCTACATACCCCTACAGACCCGTATATCCCACTACATGCCCCTGCATACCCTGATATCCCCTGAATGCCGCCATGTACACCTCTATCTACCCCTAGATCCCCCTTGCGCGCCAAATTTAAGGAGGAGAATAGGAAATGCTCTGCCAGGCAGGCCCAAGATGCCGTTCATGGTCAGCTTCAATAGGACACACCGTTTTCTCAAAGCAGGACGATGCAATTTGAAGACCTTTCAAAAATGCCCAGCTCCTTTGCTAACGACCCCATATCATAACCCCTTGCACCCTAATCTATAGGGTCCCTCATGCACCAATCTTCAACAGGAAACCCTTTTGCCAGGCAGGGCAACGAAGACATTGTGAGGCAGCTGGAGGACTGTGCCTCTCGACCAGCCACGTGAAGCATGGTACAGTCTTGGCGTTGGACCTCGACACTGGGGAAAATGCCAGGCTGCATGTTGGGAACAGTCTTATTAGGAAAAGGTAGAAAACTGGACCGCTTGTCTGCACAACTACACGAACCATTGCGCGGCATGGCGCGCGAGTGATCTGTCTGTTCACCCTCACTCCTAGTTACGCAGTGTTCCTAAGCCGGAGCTATTCAGGAGCATATCACAAGTGCAGAGGCTAGGTCTTTGGTCCATTTTGGAAAAATTGTATTGGAAGCCAGCCAGGGTTTCCGAAGAGGTGGACTTGCATCACATGGGACCCGCTATAGAACCGCAACCCCATCATTCAGTGGGGCCTCCAGGAATTCAAGCCAAGATTCAATTTGCAGAGGTTCGGTTCGCGAATAGGAGGTTTCTTTGCAGCCTGCATTTCTAGGACTTGAAGCAGCATTTCACTGACTTGCGCAAGGACGTGACCGTTGTGGCAGCTGCGGCGGCTGCGGCGGTCGCGGCCGTCGCAGCAGTCCAGCGTGGGAGGGAGAGGGAGGAGGGGTGTGGGGCTTTCAGGGTTTACAGGGGGTGCCTTATTCTTGTGTGGGTGGGGGGTTTGGTGCGGGCGGTTTACGGGTTTAAGGTTCGGGGTTGGAGTTTCAGGGCTTGGGAACTCAGAGGGTGGGTCTTATAACAAGTTGGGGGCCTTTACAGGAATGCAGATGAA